TCGGCATCACAGAGTGCTGGGAATACAGGTATGAGCCACTGCACTCAGCCTCCTTCATATTGCTTTAAAATAAATACAATCCCATTCATTGAAAAATAAGTAGGAACTTAGGAGTCCCCAGTACAGATTCTAATATGCATGAATTCAGTTATCATGATGTAATTAAATAAGTTTCTCACCAACAATGTTCACATTTCAGTTACCAAAGTAATAACTGAGTAATTGCATAAAGTAGAAATAGTCACCGCTAGCTCTTTAGTTCACAAATCACTCCATAAATGACAGATGCATGAAAACTAATGACCATCACTTCTTTCAAAGTCTGTCCAAAATCAGTCACTGCATCTGTTACTCATTTCACACACACACACAGCAAAGTGTGTAGTTGTGTTGCCTCTGTCTTTAGCAATAAACTCATGCATTTTATAGAGTTGAGAGGGAATTGACCACCAAGGATTAATGTACACCAAAGAAACAAAAAATGATAGGGCACAGTGACTCACGCCTGTAATCCCAGCACTTTGGGAGGCCATCTGAGCCCAGGAGTTTGAGACCAGCCTGGGCAACACAGTGAGACCTCTCTACAAAAAATTTTTGGCCAGGCGCGGTGGCTCATGCCTGTAATCCCAGCACTTTGGGAGGCCGAGGCGGGCAGATCACAAGGTCAGGAGATCGAGACCATTCAGGCTAACACAGTGAAACCCTGTCTCTACTAAAAATACAAAAAATTAGCTCGGCGTGGTGGCGGGTACCTGTAGTCCCAGCTGTTCAGGAGGCTGAGGCAGGAGAATGGCGTGAACCTGGGAGGCGGAGCTTGCAGTGAGCTGAGATGGCACCACTGCACTCTAGCCTGGGTGACAGAGTGAGACTCCATCTCAAAAAAAAAAAAAAAAATTTTTTTTTAATTGGCCAGGCATTGGTGGTATGCACTTGTCCCAGCTACTGAGGAGGCTGAGGTGGGAGAATATCTTGCGCTTGGGAGTTTGAGGCTGCAGTGAGCCATGTTTGTGCCACTGCACTCCATTCTGGGTGATAGAGTGAGAACCTGTCTCAAAAAACAAAAAAAAAATTTTTTTTTTTTTTTTTTTTTTTTTTTTTTTTTAATGGTGAGACTGGAAGTAAAATTTGAGTGCAACACAAATGGAATTGTAGATGAAATAGATGATACTGGACTGTGAATGCTGTTGCCGTTCTAGAGACTAGATATACAGCCAGAGAAACCTTGTGAAGGCAAACTTACAAATGAGGAAAGAGATGGAAAGGATGAAGATGTCTCCAGGGACTGACACTAGTGAAAAACTTCACATTAAAGCGACTCTTGGAGATATGTAATGACATTGGAAGATCAGGTGATAAAATGTTGGAACTAAATCCAAACTTAGAAAGGAGTAAAGACAGTTTGCCAAGGCACGGAAAAGATGCTTGTTCTATATTGTAAGTTATAGAAGGGAAAAAAGAAGACAAGCATGGTTTTTCATACAGAAATAAAACACTTGATTCTCAATGTTTCTACTGTTTTAAAGTTAGTCTACTAAATATTACTATTTTAATTTTGTTATGCATTGAACAGAGTTTTTAATACTTTCACACAATTTTTTTTCATTGTTTAGTTTTTGTTTCCAAGGCTTAAAGATTCATACTTTTTCTTTTCTTTTCCTTTTTTTTTTTTTGAGACAGAGTCTTGCTCTGTCGCCCAGGCTGGAATGCAGTGGTGCGATCTCGGCTCACTGCAAGCTCCGCCTCCTGGGTTCTCTCCATTCTCCTGCCTCAGCCTCCCGAGTAGCTGGGACTACAGGCGCCTGCCACCACGCCTGGCTAATTTTTTGTATTTTTAGTAGAGACAGGGTTTCACCGTGTTAGCCAAGATAGTCTCGATCTCCTGACCTTGTGATCTGCCCGCCTTGGTCTCTCAAAGTGCTAGGATTGCAGGCATGAGCCACTGCACCTGGCCAGATTCATACTTTTTAAAAGGACTTTTGGACAATTTTTCTTTAAAAGTCACAGAACAATTGTAATTTTCCCCCAATGATGATTAAGATCGCTTTGCATAGTTTCAGCAAGCAGGACATTTTTGTAGTCCTGCACTATTGTGCAAAGTGAAGACTGACTATATATGCTTTTTTAGATGAGTATACAAAGTAACAGCTTTCTGTTTTTTGGGCAGAGTTGGGAAGGAGATGAAAGCAGAAAATGTGGTTGCTGTCTTTGCAGGAACAGAGCTACAGAAGCATATTGATTGCTTTCAGAGCACAGCCTTGTGATGAAAACATTCAGGCATTTAATCTATTTTATAATTTACACTGGATCATAAAACTAGACTCACCTTTCTGCATATCAACGAATCTACTTTTTATGCTGTTCTGAAAATTTAAGTATTCATGAAGATGAATTCAAGTGTAATTATAAGAGGTACCTTTTTCACATTGAAGACTAGATGTCAAATAATGTTCCAGAACCTTTTGGTATAAGATTTTTTTGTTGTTGTTTGTTTGTTTTTTATTTTTTGAGACAGAGTTTCGCTCTGTCACCCAGGCTGGAGTGTAATGGCATGATCTTGGCTCACTGCGACCTCTGCCTTCTGGATTCAAGTGATTCTCCTGCCTTAGCCTCCCAAGTAGCTGGGATTACAGGCACCCACCACCAAGCCCAGCTAATTTTTGTAGTTTTAGTAGAGATGGGGTTTCACCATGGTGGCCAGGCTGGTCTTGAACTCCTGACCTCAGGTGATCTGCCCGCCTTGGCTTCCCAAAGTTCTGAGATTACAGGTGTAAGCCACCGCACCACGCCAAGCCTATGATCTCTAATTGGAAGTCATTGGACCTCAACTGCATACATGTAAACTAACTCTTCTGGCCAATCAGAAATTATATCTGATCATTATCCTGTATATTACCTACTACATTGCTGGTTGAACTACTTCCAGTACTAGATATGCAGTTTTGCTATAGATGATGGTAGCTATGATGATACCAAAGAAAAGGCTCTTTTTAGCCCAACAAAAATTTTAAAAGAACATTGAAAACAAGCAGAGTGGATACATAAGAATTATGCATGTGCTCATGGAAAACCAATTTCAAACAGACGTGTAAAGGAAAATGAACCTGTTCTATTCTGATATAAAAATTATGCACAGTATTTCATTTGCATTTTAAAAAACAGAACCAAGATTATATGCAGCATTTACAAGTATCTTACCTTGAATCACAGTGCAGGATTCCACTGCTCCCCATCAATGTACTCTGAATTTAATATGGGCTTCTGTGATATAAAATGGGGCGAATCTGCTGAGACTTGCCCTCAGGGTTTCCTTCCTTAACCAAACCCTATTACATATTGCAGGGTCCATGGCCTTCTTCTCAAAACAAAGAATTAAAACAAAAATCAAGATCCTAAGACAAAACATACCTATCTCTTTTTAAATAATGAGCAATGATTTCTTGTCATTAGATGCATTTCCCCTCACTCAGGAATAAGAGATATTTAACAGTTTCTTCTTTATCCATTTAGGCCAAAGAAAAAGTCAAAGTGATCACTATATATTAAAATTTAGATATTAATTTTATTTTCTCTAAGTTTTTATACTTCCTAGTTTTAAAAAAAATGCCAAAATGCTCATGTTCTGGTTTTCTATGGTTTAAATAGCAACTTAGGACGGCAACATTAGCTTCTGCGGTTTTACAAAGACAACTTCCTTGGCGTACAGAATGGCCAACAAAGGATCTAGCCTGATGGCAGCTGGGAACAAGTCTAACTTTCTGGAACTCATCAGTTGAGGCTTCAGTGGCAGCACACTTCTTTTCATTGGCCTGCTCCATTATCTCGTGAGTTGTCTCTTTGATTTCATTTCTCCAACCCCCCCCTTTTTTTTTTTGAACCTCAGTGCCTGGCTCAATGACATCTTTATGATCAGTTCCTAGATTACTTTCCTTACCTGCTGGCCCTTCTGTAAAGATTCCATGGACTTCCTTCTGCCCCCTCCCCTCCTTGGCATCCTCTTTAAGAAACTAAGGCTCCTTGAGGAAGAGATTGTATTGGATCCCTTGGGCCCTCCACACTTTCCTCAGGGACGTGCAGCAGCTGGGGATGCAGGAGACCAGATTTCTGTTAACACAGCCCCACCCAGTCATTTGGTCTCTCTGGAGAGATCTGTGGCCCACATGGCCCTGCAGAGGTGGCACACTGGCTGCAGAGGCTGAGCAGAAGCTGAGGTGGCTGCAACTCTGAAGCAGGTGGTAGCTCAACAGGATGAGGTCCAGGAGGAATGGTTCGTAGCAGGAAGGGGAAAAGGAAACTGACTTCCCTGCTTCTTTCCTTAAAGGTCTCTCAAATGGTACTATGTGGGGGTCTCTAGAGAAGTTTCATTATTTTTCCAGAGGGGAACACTCCATCTTCAAACCTAGGGTAAAAATGTAGTATATGTGTGGGTGGGCACCTGGGCTAGGGGTTCAGCCTTCTTTTTGTAGATTTTCACAGATTGTTTTCAGCTCCGTGCCTGACTCATGCCTTGTGTTTTAGTATCCCTGAGCCCTGGGCTTCTCCTCTTCCCCCAAGAATAAGCCCCCAGGCTCCAGCGCAGGGGAGATGTTATACACCTGGCTCCTGGTGTGTGTGGGGGTGGGATTACCCCTACCCACATCCAATTTCAGTCCTCTGCTTCACACCCCACTCTGTCTCAGAGTCCTGAACCTCTGTCTAGAGTTCTGGAAGGCCTGTGCTCAGAGGCGTTCCGTCAGCTTGCATTTTGTGGTTCCTGCCATCCTCCTCCATCAGCTTTCTATCTCCTGAACACACTTCCAGTTTTTTTCTATTGGTAACATTTTCCCTCCATTCCCTCAGTGGTGGGTTTTGTATCCCTTTGTGATCCTTTATTACTATTAGGAAGGCAGAGCAGATGATTGTGTGCAATTAGCCCACCATCTTTATCTGATTTCTCACTTTACTTTACCACACAAGGATTTCAACCAGTGGACTCAGCCAGAAATGAGGAAAGTGAGACTTGACTTTAAAGTCATATTTTATTTCTCTGGGCTGTGCACACTTAGGGCATTAGATCCACAGATGGGCTCCTCTGCTGGGATGCTACTTGTGGCGATCATCTCCTAAGCCCCATGTTTTAGCCTTGTACAGAGTGATGTCACTGCAGACCCTGAAGTGATTCAGCCTGCGGTCATGGCGTTCTGGGTTGACCTAGAAAGGAGGATGCAGAATCAGGAAGAAGTCTGTGAGGATGCAGGAGGAGCTGGGTTTGGAGTCAATGGACTTGGCTTATATCAGGCTTCACCCTCCTGACCTGTGGCTGCATTGTGGAATGGAGATGACCACACGCACATCAGAAAGGTTGTGAGATCGGAGGAGAATAACCTATGCACAGTTGTGGTCTTCCCTGTCCCACTGCCTGACTTGGAGGCCACAGTATCCTCAGCAGTAAGAGCAAGACCCAGTGCACCCTAGGTATTCAATGCATATTTGGTGAAAGAATGAATTTGTTGAAAGAGTCACATAGAACCTGAGTAATAGTCGGCACTCTGACACATCGATCTTATAGAAGTTACACCATGCAAATAATTTAAAAAATGTATTTCCAGAAAATGTTACCAGGAGATGAGAGGCTGAGTGATGGTCCTTGAGTCTGGCTTTGCCAGTGTCCCACTACTGAGGTTGGAGGTATCTTGTCTATCCAAGGTGAGGCCCTGCCAGGGGGCAGGGAGCTTCCAGTTGCTGCTGATCAAGCCCCAACTACTTCACTCTGAGGCTCCAACTTAGTTACCTCTTCCGGTTGCACAGCACCTGCATCTAATGGTTTTTAAGGTACACTTTCTTACTATGCTAACAGTGGCCTCTGATGGCGTTGTCCTCAGGTTTATAATGATGAACAGCATGGAATATTTGCAGACCCTTTGCAACTCCAGAGTGCTCACTGATCTGGAGACACATGCCATCTGTGATCTGCAGAGCCTACAAAGGTCTGAGCAGGGCAGGCCACACTTGTCTTTCCTGTCATCGTAAGCCTGCATGAGATGTCCTGGAGGGTCAAAGATGCAACATCTCCACATGCACACTTTGTACTTGTGTGAGCCAGGTCTTTAACTCTTTTTTTTTTTTTTTTTTTTTTTTTTTTTTTTGAGACAGAGTCTTGCTCTTTATCCCAGGCTGGAGTGCAGTGGCATTATCTCAGCTCACTGCAAGCTCCGCCTCCCGGGTTCCCGTCATTCGCCTGCCTCAGCCTCCCCAGTGCCTGGGACTACAGGCGCCCGCCACTGCACCTGGCTAATTTTTTGTATTTTTAGTAGAGACGGGGTTTCACCGTATTAGCCAGGATGGTCTTGATCTCCTGACCTTATGATCTGCCCGCCTCGACCTCCCAAAGTGCTGGGATTACAGGCGTGAGCCACCGCACCTGGCCTGTCTTTACTCTTTAACAAAATGAAGAATGGTCAATTAATTTACTTGTGCGTTGTACTATTTTTCTAAGTTGCTTCATGATCTATCTTGGCTGATTTCTGTCTTCATGCCAACACTCCTTCCTTCACAACCTTTCTTCTCCCTAGCAAAGATTTTTTCCTTGAGCAAACTCTATTCAGGCTCCCTGAACTACTTTTCAACCAGGTCTGAGGTTGGGATTTCCATTTCCTCTGCATTGTCCAATTCTAGCAAAAATCCTGCTAAGGTGATTTAACCAGAACCCCCCCACCTTTCATATCTGATCACCCTTGATACCTGATTGGGTCCCTCATCCTCCACCACTCTCCAGGGGATGTCTGATCCTGCTAGCCTGCCTTCAGCAAACACCCTGTTAGGTGGAAGTTAGCCAGAACCTACCCCTACCCCGATGTTTCCTCCTAGTATTTTTCCATCACTGACCCCCACCTTGTTCCTTGGCTACACAGCCACAGTTGCCCATGCTATAATCAGAGTTGAGGCCAGTCTCTCTCCCTCCCTCACTGCAAAACCCCATAGTAGTGCCTACGCCTTTCACCGTAATTTCCCCACTTGAAAAGTCTTCTTTCTGGTTTTTAAATTTAAAATTTATTTTTTTCCACTAGGACTTCCAGTACCATTCCTTCTGGTTTTTAACACTCATTGAATATTGGCCTATTATTCATATTTATATTCAATAACTGTCACTGAATACATATTTTAACACTTTTCTCTTATTCATGATGTTAGACCTCCCCATCTCCTCTTCCTCTTTGAGTGCTTATCTTCTCCAGCTCTCTAACCATACCTCTCCTTTTGTACCAAGTCCCTCCTTGTAGGTGTGTATATATGTATACATACGTGTGTGTATGTACATATACATGTACATATTTTGTGTATGTGTGTATACAGATATGCACACAAAAAAAAAGAGAGAGAAGAAGAAGAAAAAAAAGTTAGGGAAAAATACAGAATAATTGCTTGATAACGTAGGTGTTGAAGGTTTTCCTAAGCAAGGCACAAAACCCAGAAACCATAATGAAAATTGGTTGTGTATTTGATGACTTAAAAATGAAAACCTTCTGCATGATCAAAGACATAAGTAGATTTAAAGACTTGTGTGGCAGAAATTTCTTTGACTTGTCTATTCCATATTGCACATTTCTTCCTTAAAAACAGAAGCACTGTATTCCTTAGGGTGATTGTGTGCTAAAGTGGCTAATTGTGCCTTTCCAATCAAACAAGGAGAGGATCCTTACTCACATGTCCATTTTCTATGTATTTTTGTTTTAATTTTTGAAATTTTTTCATTTTTAAAAATGTTATTTATTTATATATTTTTTAAATTAATATATTTTTTAGAAAGAGTCTCACTCTGTCACCCAGGCTGGAGTGCAGTGGCATGATCTTGGCTCACTGCAACCTCCACCTCCTGGGTTCAAGTGATTCGCCTGCTTCAGCCTCCCCAGTAGATGAGACTACAAGCATGCCACACCACGCCTAGCCAATTTTTGTATTTTTAGTAGAGATGGGGTTTCGCCATGTTGGCCAGGCTGGTCTCGAACTCCTGACCTCAGGTGATCCGCCTGCCTTGGCTTCCCAAAGTGCTGGGATTACAGGCATGAGCCACTACGCCCAGTCACATGTCCATTTTTTATGGATAAGGAAGCAGAACTCAGAGATATTGAGTGGCACACCCAAGACCACCTTGCTGATAGCTGATGGAGCTGACTTAGGTATCTGTCGTCAGTACGTTTATTTAAACACACAGTGTTTACCATGTGCCAGGCCCTGTTCCAGGAACTGCACAAATATCACCTAGTTTCATCCTCATAACAAGCTTTTGAGATAGGTATTAGCTGTATTAGCTCCATTTTACAACAATTAAACTGAGTCATAAGAGAGCTTAGTAACTTACCCAGCTGGTAAGAGGTAGCCAAGTTCAAGCCCAGGCATGTCTGACCCCCTGCTCTATTCTACAGTCACCACCTACATTGCCGCTGTGTTTCCTTGTGTTTCCTGAGGAAGGAGCCACGCTTACCAAGGGCTCTAAGTCCCATCCAACTTCCTGGTTTTCAGTCTGTGTCTCTGGGTACTTCTTCCTTGGTCCCTGGGCAGTATGGTGAATGAGATTCAGAAACCTGGCTGGGAGATGAGGTATGAGTTATGAAGGAGTCAGGCTTTGGGACCAGAGGTTGGTCCTGTGCCCTTTCCTGCATCCACGTTGTTCCTTTCAGGCAGAGCATCTGGGCCGCGGAGGTTTGTCTCAGCCTCGAGACTAGGGTGTCTGGTCTCTCCACTCATTTTTCAACAAAGATGGTAGTGAGCTCAAACTCTATGCCAGGCATGGTTCAGGGCGCTGGGCATAGAGTGCTGAGTGACAGCGTGGTCCCTGCTTTCCTAGAGCTCATGGTCTAGACGGGGCAGAGGACACAGTATGCAGGTTTACAAAATGACGTGATGGTGGCAGACGGGGATACGCGCTGTGAAGAAAGGAATAGGTGAAGGGTCATGTGCAGGCAAGGGCAGCTGCTGTAGAGGGGGCAGCGAGAGAAGGCCTCTCTGGTTGACAAGCAGGAGCCAGCCCCGGAAGAGGCAGAGGAAGAGCACACCGCAGGCAGCAAGAGCAAAGGCCCCGAGGCATGAGCAAGTTTGGCCAGCGTAGCACAGCAGAGAGTGAGGAGCAAGCTTGTAAGAAGTGAGGTCAAATCTTTGTGTATTGAAATAAGTATGGCTGCTGACACCAGATAGATTTTCAGCTCCATAGTTCTTCTGCCCTATCAAGTCTCCACCAGAGAGAGGCAGGCGGACAATGGAATGAACCTGGGCTTTGGAGTCAGTGCTAGTACTGGCTTGTTGGGTGGCATCACTTCTCTGGGCCACACTTCACTCATCTGTGAAATGGGGGGAAAATGTCTATCTCAGCAAGATGGCTGGGAATGAAATGAAGGAAGGTGATTCAAGGGACTGACACTGGGCTGGCACATTCTTAATGTAAGGGAGAGGGCAGCTAACTCCTGCCTGACTTTCAGGACCCTCATTTCCTGTTGTATTCCTTACTGCTACAGGTTCTCAGCTTGCACCCTTTACCCTAGTCGGGAGAGAACACTGCGGATAACACCTTACTGCCTGTGATGATGTCCTCTCTATTAGTTTATTGACTTGTCTGCCTCCTTCATAATGCTCTGAGATCCTCTGCTCCCCTGCTTCCCATCCCAGCCACGGTCACCTGTCCTTCACCAAAGTTTGCTCATAGAAGGTAGAGGGGAAGAAGGAAAGCTTTCCAAGAGGGATGCGGTTTTCCACCAAATATCTCTCCTCCCTCACTCCCAAATAGGGCCCTTTCTCCATCCTGTATGTTGTGGCCATGCCAAACTACTTGTAGTCATGTTTCTCTTTCTGTAATTTTCCATAAAACTTGGAATGTCCTTTCACAATCTTCTCCACCTCACCCTGTGGTCACCTCCTCCAAGAGGTCTTCCCAGAACTCCACTGCCTGATGGAGGCACCTGTTTCCTATGCTGTTCTCACACCAGTCATGGTCCTTCTTTACTTGTCTACTTATTTCCAAGTCTACTTCTCTTCTTCTTCATTATGCTATGAGATCTCCCCAACCCAGACCCAGCATACAGATTACCTAATAATGAAAATAACAATGGGATTAATATTTCCTGAGGACCATGTACCAGCTACTATTCTATGCACTGGCATTGTTTTGTCTAATCCTCACATCAATCCTGAGAAATAGGCTAAGAGAGGTGAAAAACCTGCCCAATATTACAGTTAATGGGTAGCAGAACCAGGATTTGGACTGAATTAGTACAGCTTCAGAACTTATGCTTGTAACATTTACATATCTGATGAATGAATGAAGGCAATGTTAAGCCAGTAGGAACACTAGTTGGCTTGACAGTTATAGTTGCATATGTCCATCTTTTAAAAATTATACTAATTTTTTTAAAAAATTATTTTTTATTCTATCTGCCACAGACTGTCTGAGTAGCCATCTTTTTTGAGCTTGGTTAGCATAAGTCCCATTTCCAGGATCAAAGCAGAGGACTCTGATGTGTGCTCCAGGGTATCAGTACCCTGAGAGGTCTCTCCAGCCGGTCTGCCTCTCTGGGCTGTATCTCAATGGCATTTCAAACCCCAGGACTTACCATCTGCAGGTTCCTCCAGGTTGTCATGCCAAGACATGGGCTTCCTGGTGATTGTGTGAACTAGAAAAAAAGAAAAAAAAATGGCATCACAGGTTCAGATTAAAACATGAATTCCCTGCCCTCTCTAAGACCCACCTTAAACAGGGCACCCATCTGGCACTGGTACATGCCAGGCATTATCCTGGGTGCTAGGATAATACACGATTGGATAAGCCCCTCAAGAACCTGACAGTCTAGAGTGGCACTGCCCAGAATGGTGGTCATCAGCCACATGTGGCTCCTTGAATTTGAATAACTAAAATTAAATACGATGTTCAGTTCCTTAGTCACGTTAGTCACACTTCAAGTGCTCAATAGCCACATGTGGTTAATGGCTACAGTGTTGACTACAGCCAACACAGAGAACATTTTCATCACTGATGAATTCTCTTGGACAGTGCTGGCCTATGGGGAAGGCCAAAGAGGTTTGCCAGGCAGTGATCTATGCCCAGGAGGGCGCATGGTAACAGAGGAGCAGCACCCACATTCATCCACTCAGCTCATAATTACTGTGCACTGAAGAACAGGCTGTAAACAAGACAGAGCTGGCTCCTGTGCCCCCGAACTTTTACTCTATTTGTGGTGACAGGCAATAAACATGTATATATTACTGGGCAAATGTAAGCGTGATGGAGAACAGTAAAGCAGGTTACGTGGATGGAGAGTTGGCATTGGGGCTGGGGTGTGGGTGATGTATCTCTAGGGAGATACATATTAGCAGAGCTTTGAATGAAATGAGGGAATGTGCTGTGTATGTGGGAAGCGTATGAGCGTGAGCCTGGGGAGTTTGAGAAACGTCAAGAAAGCCAGAGTGGCTCCAGTGGAGTGAGCCAGATGGAGAGTAGTGGGAAAAGAGCAGACACCAGTAGAAACCAGTGGTCTCCAAGCTGCTTGTCTCAAACTCCTATCAGTAAAAGGACTTTAGAGCACGTGCCCTTAAAATATGTATAATTATACAGTTTTTATGTACTATTATCAGTATATTAGCGATGAAAATTTCTACCTTTATAAATAAAAGTAATCAATACAAGTTGTAATATTTTCTCACTTTATTCCAATGGCTCACATGCTCGAGGGACATGAGCTGGGAGACAGCATTTTCCCTAGAAAGCATGAAGGTTGCCTGAAGAGGTTATTTCCATTGTTGGAATGGACCCAGTTTGAACGGCTTTCCACGCTAATTTGCTTTCCTGAAACTAGTGGCTGGGGGCTCCAGAAGAAAACCAAGTTAGTTAGAAGGAAAGTGAAGACAGTACATTTTCTCTATAGAGCCGGGCAACAAAGTGTACTTTACTTATTAGGCACAGAGTTGGGAAAGGCATTCAGGAAGAAGCAACAATGTTTATGCAGGTAAAGTGGGAAATGACATGATGCATTTGGGAAATCCATTTATTTAGAAACAGCAGGGGGAAAGGAGTGTGTGTGGGATTCATCAGCAATGGCTGGTGCAGAGTAGCCACCAAAGCATTTCTTAAAGGAGCAGGGCAAAGTCGGGGAGAGGAGTATGGGATGAAGCTGGCAGGAACCAGAGCCAGTTCCAATGCGCCTTATGTCCGGATTGATTTAAGCTTTACCTCAGAAGCTATGAGAAGGATTTTAGGTGGGATTGATGTGATCTAATTGTCCTCCTAGCATAGCACTAAGCTAGCAAGGGTGTAGGCGTTTGGTCGGAGGGGCCCGCTTGGAGGGAAAGAGAATAAGGAATTGGGAGCCCATCGGACCAATCCAGGCGGTAAGGACTAGGGCCCTGCAGAGGCTTCAGGAATGAGGATGCAGGCAGAGGCTGTTTGAGGTGCTACTTAGAGCATGAAAGTACATGAGCAGAGGCAGAGAGGAATCCATATGCATGATAGTGTCTTTCACTGAAGCAGGAACAGGTAGGTGAGGGGAGAGGAATGTTAATAAACAGGACTTGTGCCTTTTTTAAGTGTGTGGAGGGAGGGAGAGAGACCTTGAGGAGGACTCTGAGGCTTCTAATGATCACGAGATCATTAGATGATGAGAGTGAATGATCCTGATCATGAGAGTGAATCATCCGGGGCCTTTTGCAGAGACAGGGTCTTCTGGAGCAGCAGAGAGTGGGAAAGGTGCGGATGAGCCTGGCTTTCCTCCTGCTGGGTGTGAGGTGCCTGTGGGTGGTCCAGGGAGGGGAGCTGGGAGGTGGTTGGGCGTGTGCATCTGAAGCTCCATTTGAGACCCAGTGGCATTCAGGGGAAACTGGTGTGACAGGAGAGATCAAACGGCCCAAGGAGGGTGCACAGAGACAAGAGTGGAGGGTAGGGCTGTTTTATCAGGGGGCACCCCGGAACTTTCCGAAGGACAATATAAGAAGCCTGAAGAAAAACTTTTCACTCGTTGAAAACCGAAAATACAAACAAAAACTAAACACAAACAGCCTGCAAAATATAATTATTTCAAAAATAAAATCATAAAAAGCTATACAACCTTTTTTTCTCTTCTACAACGAAAAGGTTTAATCGTGTTGCGCATGAACTTTAATACAGCGAATACATCTGATATGATGTGGCCTCTCCAAAGTCATGGTTTCTGAAATCTAGGAAAGGGGGCGGGTGCTGGGGAAAGCGTTTTTGCTGGGACCACGTTCCCATCCCGCAGCCCGGAGGGCTCCTTCCCCGACGCCCTCCCGCTGTCGCCCTTCCCCCACCCCACAGTGCCTCTCACTCTTGCGGAGGGGATTCACGTGATACTGCGTGTAGAGTTTCTGGGTTCGTAGCTCCTTGAGGTACAGTTCCCGCAAGATCTGGTTCTGATGGACCTCATCTGGAATCACCTTCTCTCTTGGGTGTCCCGCCATGGCCTTGGGCTGCCCCGCGCCCTCTTGCCTGGGCCTTCCACAGTCTCCAGGCAGCGCGTCCCCGCTGTCTCCAGGCAACGGCGTCCCGCGGTCTCCAGGCAACAGCGCTCTGGTAGTGCTGCCCGGTCGGGGCGGATCTCACTAGGCCAGCCCATTCCCCTGCCTGCATCGCCCCGCCCCGCGCCCGCCTGTCGGGATCTTATTTCGCGCCCCGCCCTTTTCTGGCGCCGCACTCACCTGCCCCAGCTTCTCAGGCCCCGGCTGGTTACTATAAGGTCCCCTGGATACCGCCAGGAAAGGGCTTCCCGGCAAGGGGCAGACCCAGGAGGTAAGGGACAGATGATTGGACCTCACCTTGGCCAATCATTCCCTTAAAAAGCTTTTGAAAGGAGTCAGAAATCTCTCCCACCTTAAAGCAGATGCCCAGAATCAAAACCTCACAAAAAAACCGGAGGTTTCTTTTCTGAGAAAACGTTCTGGCCAGTGTGGCCAAGATTACCAATGTGATAATATTGACAGAATAAACCTTTCCTAATTAAGGAACTTGCTGACTTTATAGTTTGTTTATTTTTAATGTTTGTGTTTAAAATGCACATAATATCTTACCATCTTAGCCATTTTTAAATATAACAGTACAGTAGTATTAAGTATATTCAAACTATGTGAAACCAATCTCCAGAACTTTTTCACACCCATTAAACAACGTTTCCGTTTTCCCTTCGCTCCAGCCCCTGTCATTTCACTTTTTGTTTCTATGAATTTGAGTCTGCTAGATACCTTAAATAATGTAGTTTATTTTAAAAGAATCGCCGCGCACGGTGGCTCACGCCTGTAATCCCAGCACTTTGGGAGGCCGAGGCAGGTGGATCACCTGAGGTCAGGAGCTGGAGACCAGCCTGACCAACATGGTGAAACCCCATCTCGACTAGAAATACAAAATTAGCCAGGCGTGATGGCTCATGTCTGTAATCCCAGCTACTCGAGAGGCTGAGGCAGGAGAATCGCTTGCACCTGGGAAGTGGAGGTTGCAGTGAGCTGAGACTATGCCATTGCATTCCAGCCTGGGTGACAGAGACTCTGTCTAAAAAAAAAATTAAAAAAAAAAAAATCAAAAGTAGGTCTAGCATAAAGAAAGAAGTCACCCCTAGTTTTAGTAAGCACCTAAATACTGACTGAAGACTGTGCTCTTCCCCACTCAGTACTTCATTCATTCATCCATTCATTCATTCACTCAGGACACAATGTGATTTGCAGAATGGGTTTAGTCTGGGACACAGTGTCGAACACAATTTTTAATTGGATCATTTATCTTTATCAATTTGTTGGAGTTTTTAATATGTTATTTTGAGGGCTGTACATGCTGCAAATTTACTTTCCGTCTGTGTGGCTTGCCATTTTAGTCTCTTAATGGTGTCTTTTGCACACCAAAAGTTAGACGTAGTCAAATATATTAGTCTTTTCCTTTATGATTATTGTTTCTTAATTTTCATTTAAGACATCTTTTTCTAATTTGATGACCTGAGGTTATTTTTATATTACTTTTCAGAGCAGTGCTGTTCAATGAAAGTGTGAGCTGAGCCACTCAGGTAATTTAAAACATTGTAGTATTTGCATTAAGAGGGCAAGAATTAGATAAAACTAATTTTAATAATGTGATATTTAACTCAGTATATCCAATTTGTCAATGATTCAATGTTTGAATATAAAAATTATCGAGATATTTTACATTGTTTTGTCCTACTAATGCTTAAAATCCAGTGCAGATTTTGTACTTCATAGTACATCTCAAGAGCTCCATGGCCATCTGTGGGCAGAGCTATTAATATTTAAGAGGATTTGTTGTTTTACCCTTTCTCAGTGAGATCTGTATTCCACCTGAAATTGGTTTTCGAGTGCAGTGTGAGGTAGGAATCCAGCTTCATTTTTTCTTTCCAAACAAGTACCCAGTTGACCCACCACCAACTTATTGAAGAGACAGTCCTTCCTCACTGGTCTGCTGTGCTACTGCGGCCATAAAGAAGGTGTCCCCATATATGCAAGTCCGTTTCTAGACTCTGTTCTGTGCCATTGGTCTATTTGTCTATTTGCACTATCTTAATTATCATAATTTGTTTAACAAATTCTAACATGTGGTAGGGAAGGATGTCTTCTCAAGAGAGTCTTGCCTCTTCTTGGCCCTTTGTATGTCCACATAAATTATAATGAGCTTGTCAGGTTCCCTAAAAATATCTTTTGGGATTTTTATTGAGATTATATTGAATCCAGACCTCAGTTTGAGGAGAGCACCTTTTTTTTTTTTTTTTTTTGAGACAGAGTCTCGCTCTGTCGCCCAGGCTGGATGGAGTGCAGTGGCCAGATCTTAGCTCACTGCAAGCTCTGCCTTCCGGGTTTACGCCATTCTCCTGCCTCAGCCTCCCGAGTAGCTGGGACTACAGGCGCCCGCCACCTCGCCCGGCTAGTTTTTTGTATTTTTTAGTAGAGACAGGGTTTCACCGTGTTAGCCAGGATGGTCTCGATCTCCTGACCTCGTGATCCGCCCGTCTCGGCCTCCCAAAGTGCTGGGATTACAGGCTTGAGCCACCGCGCCCGGCCTGAGGAGAGCACTTCTCAATGTCATGTGTTCATCTGATGCTATCATCTGCTCAGGATCTGGACACATTCTTGCCTTCTAGACTGCCACCTTTCCCATTCTGAAGTAGAAGTGCTGACTGAGCAAGAGGCTCAACCCACAGAGCTTTGATGAGAGCACAATGGAGGGACCTTCCCCTTTTTGCAGGAGACATTTCTCAAGGGCAGAAAGTCCTTGGGATGGTCCTGGAATCCTAGGATGAAGAAAATAGAGTGTGGGAGGAACCAGACCAAAGGAAACGAAACAAACCTGAGTCTCCATCTATCTATACCAGGGACCTTGTGCCCTGTATGTGATTCTCAGGGGTTGCACTCACTTGAATGCAGGGCAGATTGACAGGACTTACCCTCCAGAGAACACATTAGATGTGTTCCACTCCTCACTCTCCTCTTCATTCTCTGTCACTGGCCCTGCAGTTTGCTCTGTGGCTACAGACCAAGTTCCATGGAGAAGCCAGTCTCAAACGTAGAGAGCCTCATGCAGGCTGGCTGACCAGGCATGAGAGGAAAGGAGGGAACTGTTGAAAAAAAAGGAAATCTCTGGCATCTGAAGAGGATTGCCCAGATGGGAACAGAGACAAAATAGAGATAGTAGCAAGGTAACCAGGATCTGGTCATGGAAAAGGGGTCCTGTCACTTACCAAGGCTGAAGGTGGGTTTGCTGTTGTCCTGCATTCCATGTGTCCACCAGGCCAAGCTGCTGGGAATCCACAGTCCTGGCCATTCTGAACCGCCCCAGAACTGCCCCAGCAGGAGGGAAACCATCTCTCCAGGATGAGAGCTGTGAATTGTCATGGCTGGTTGGGGGTGGCTCGATAGGGAGTGGGGGCTAGAGTACCGGGGATTAGAAACAAGAGCTAGGAGGAGGAGCAGATGGAAAGGCAGGGGAGTCATGGAAATTGGGACCCTGATGAACATGGCAGCAGCAGATGCATAGTTTAAAACCAACAGAGGAAGAGCTGGGCAGATCCTTACAGTAGGGTAGTGGACAGGGCTGACATTATTCAGAGAGGGGTTATTCAGATATTCAGATAGGGCAGAACCCCCTTTTTCAGATAGGGCAGAACCCTGAAAATGTGGGATGGCACAGGAGACTAGGGTGCAGGCTTGAACGCTGAGGAAAAATGGCAGAAATGAGGGCTGGATAATGAGAGCATTAACGAACAGAAAAGGTGAAATCGTGGGTTGAGAAAGAGAAATTTGAGGTAGCTTGCTTGTCATTCTTTCAACTGGGAGCTCTTGTTACTTGTCCAAATGAATCCAAATGAGTCATTGGGATGTGGCCAGACCTACTCCAGGATTTATCTCACACACAGCCCTCACATCATCCCATAACTGAATGCCCATTATGAAATGTACATACACATCTCTTTTGGTCTAGTGAGCAGGTCCCACCAATCAGGGAAATGGTACTAGTTTCTAGGTTTAAGGGTTGTCATGGGAAATGGCAAAGAGAAGAAATGGGGCTGTAGTAATAATCCTTGTTCTTGGGATACTACGTAGTATTGCCCTCAGTAGGCAAAGACTGACCAAAGGGCTAGGATAGATTTAGAGGGCTGGAGCCTAGGAGAGCAGTGCTGAAGCAGGAATCGGGAAAGTGGGAAGAAATCAGTGCCCCAGTATCCTTCCCTGACAACACTGTTCAAAGCCCTTTTCACTGCATTTACATCACTGGATGGATATGTGTGATTAGAGATGTCGTGTCCATTTTACCATGAGGATGGTGAAGACCAGAGAAGGAAGTCCCATAGGTGGCAAGGGGGTGACAAAGCAGATGGGACTAGAACTTGGGCCAAAAGAAGGGGACAGGAATGAGGGAGCACAGAATGGTGCAAAGCGCAGACGAGCAGCTTTGCCTCCTCCTGCGTCTCTGAACAGGACCCTGTAGGGGGCGCTTCAGAGCAGAACTGAACTTTTTGGAGCGTACCATCTTGGTTCCTGTGTTCCCTTGGTTTGATGACTTACTCTTAACTGGAACCATAAACATAGGGCTGAAACTGGTAGGATGGCTTCCCACTCCTGAGTGCCTAACGACTCGATTTGGACTTCATTGCTCACTACCTGAGATGCCTGTCTCCATGTCAGATAATTAAGGAGAGTGCGCCCTCCCCCTTTCTTTAGTCTGATGAAGCAATCCCCTCTGCTAACCATTCCTCGTTTCTTTGATCACCATCCAAATCATAAGTCCATTTGCTCACCTATTCCCTCTGGTATTTTTATCACCATAATATTCTGATTGTTCTTTCTTGACCCAATACCCTTTTCCTCCCTTACTTTCAGTGGTACTCTATGGGTTCAGCTGCATGATTAGCAAACTTCCCTATTTCCTTAGACTGCTTCTGTATGGACAGTTCCTTGCTTCTCCTGGCTTTAAATGTAACTCGGATTTCCCTTGAGGACATTGCGTCCTGTGTATTTCAGGTAGAGACTACTTATTCTCTGAAACTCTAAGTACTTCAGGGTGGGAATGTGGCGTATAGGTTCTCTTTGCTCCTTTCGATTCCTTTCAAACCATTATTCCTCTCTTCCTACTATAAATCTCTTGCTCCTACGTGTGTACTTGAGGGTCGTGAAAGGAGATAGAGGACTGAAAAGCTACCTATGGTGTACTACACTTATTAGCTGGGTGGCAAATAATCAGTACACTAAACTCCTGTGACATGCAGTTTACCTATATAAACCTGCACATGCACTCCAGAGCCTAAAAGTTAAAAAAAGAAATACACACAATATTATGTGTATATGTTACATGTATTTGTAATATAGACTTTATATATTAAATATATAATATTTTAGATGTCAGTTGTATTGATATTTGTATAAACTATGCAACTATATATGATTAATTAATATAATATGCATATTTACATATAAATAGACTTGAATTGCTGGTATAAGGTATGTTGTTAAACTTTGATAAATTCAGCATGAACACTGAAAATCAGCAATAGCGCCCCAGCCCGTGGCTGCTTCCCCACTACAGTGCCCAAGGGTCATAAAACTCAGGACCCTTCCCCATGTCCCTGCTGAGCCAAGCAGTGACCCACCCAACACTGAGGATGCTGAGTGACCTGAGGGGCCTGTGGGGGAACACAGAGCAGCAGGTGCTGGGGAGATGGGCAGTGGGTCTGGACTCCCAGTGGAGGGATGTTTAAAAAAAAAAAAAGGAAAACCTCTTGCTTCTTAAAGTTTGTGTTATACATCACCATTTCCCTGCATCATCCCCTAACATCTCCTGGACACTCTCCTTCTCTGTTTTCCTATTAACATTTTTACAGTTGTCTCAAAGTCTTATTCTTGAGTTCATCACACTGAGTGACTTCAGTATCCGTTTAGATGGCCTGATTCAATTCTGTGACCGCTCTGTGTGTGTGTGTGTGTTTTACTTATAACACATTCTGTATTTTGTAAAAGTTTGATTTTTGACACATGAGAATTGCATATATTTATGGTGTGATGTTTTGATACTTGTGTACATTGTGTAATGATCAAATCAGTGTATGTAACAAATACATCACCTCACTTATTTCTTCTTGGCGCAAATATCGAAAAGACTCTTTTGTATGTCTTGAAATAACAATAATCCCTCTAACATGAAATAGAACACCAGAACGTATTTCTCCTATCTGTAATTTTGTACTGTTTCACCAATCTCTCCCCATTTCTCCTCTAGCAAACACTATTCTATTCTGTACTTTTATGAGACTGACCTTTTTTAGAGCCCACAAATGAGTGAGATTATGTGGTATTTGTCTTTCTGTGCCTGGCTTTTTCACTTAATGTAATGTCCTCTAGGTTCACTTAACATAATGTCCTATAGGTTCATCTACATTGCTGCAAATAACCAGGTGTCATGTTTTTTATGACTAAATTTTATTCTATTGTGCATATGTACTACCTTTTCTTTATTCAGTCATGCATTGATGGACATTTAGGATAATTTCATAGCTTGCTTATTGTGAATAATGCTCCAGGAAACATGGGCGTGCAGATTTCCCTTTGACATATTCATTTTCTTTGGATCAATACCCAGTAGTGGGATTTCTGAATCACATGATACTTCTACTTTTAATTTATTTGTGGAAACTCTATACTGTCTTTCATAATGGTTGTACTAGTTTACACTCCCACCAAAACAGTGTGTAAGGGTTCTGTTTTCTCCATATCCACACGAGCATTTGTCGTTTTTGCCTTTTTGATAGTACTCATTCTATTTAGGGTGAGGTGATATCACACTGTAGTTTTGATTTGCATTTCCCTGATGATTAGTGATGTTGAGCATTTTTTTCATATACCTGTTGGCCATATATATGTATTCTTTTGAGAAATGTCTATTTTGGTCTTTTGCCCACTTTTAAATTATTTGGTGTTTGTTTTGTTTTGTTGCTATTGAGTTGTTTGATTTCCTTGTATATTTTGGATATAATCCCTTGTCAGATGCATGGTTTGCAAATCTTCACCAAAATTCACCACTTGCCTTCTACTTCAGCCACTTATGGACATATCTGGTCCTTCTCATTACTGAAGAATTGTCGCACTTCTGAAACCACATATTCAGATATCCTGTTCTCTGACCATGACTTCCTGTCCTTACAGTGTAATCACTCTATTCCTCCCAGTTCACTTGGCCTCCAGCCCACTATCCTTTCTTTTTCTATATCTAGTAACTCTAATTCCCATGCTGTCTTTACTTCCCTCCTTACATACTTCAGAGTCTATGATTTTATAATTTCAATGACTTTTTAAAAAGCAATATTATCAATTATCTTGCAGTATTATATTTTTTTATCTCACTTTCCTGGAGAGAAAAACTCAACCTGGCTGATCCCAGCCATTTGCCTTTCCTATGGTGCTGAATGCTGTTGAGAAAATATTTCATAAAACCTAAGAGATTGAAGTACTCTATCCTAAACAATACCCACAATACTCAATTCATAGAAGTTGTTGGAATAAAGAAATTGAAAGCAATCTAAATAATTGTAAATAAAAATAGGTAAATTGTGGTAGAGCTACACCATACAATGTAAAAAGAAAATCCACAAATATAAAACAGGGATCTTTTCAGTAATATATGAAAGAACTCCTATAAATAAATAAAAAAATACACACTCCAGTAGAAAAATAGTAAGAGACTTGAAAAGGCACTTCACAAAATAGAAGAGCAAAATGACCAATAATATTCAAAAAAGAGCTCAGCCTCATAGATGTTCAGGAAAATACACATTAAAACCACAATGAGTTAACACTATAGACCCATCAGAATGGCTAAAATTAAAAAGATAGTCAATACCGCGGATCACGAGGTCAGGAGATCGAGACCATCCTGGCTAACTCGGTGAAACCCCGTCTCTACCAAAAAATACAAAAAACTAGCCGGGCGAGGTGGCGGGCGCCTGTAGTCCCAGCTACTCGGGAGGCTGAGGCAGGAGAATGGCGTAAACCCGGGAGGCGGAGCTTGCAGTGAGCTGAGATCCGGCCACTGCACTCCACCCTGGGCGACAAAGCAAGACTCCGTCTCAA